GTATATGATGTCAGACCTTTCAACTATTCATTTTATCCTACATTGTTGAATTTGTGATAATTCACTGTAGAGGAGAGTAAATAACAGATACACTGTACAGGGACATGAAGAAACTGTAGATGTACATTTTAGTATGTAAACTGTACAATGGAGAAATGTATTTTTATCCTTAACATAAACATCACCTGAACTATACTGGTGTCAACAATTCACAGACATATCTTGAGTATCAATACCTTTGTAAATATACGTAGTAAATTCAAAATCATAGTCGATATTCCTTCTCCAACATTTGACAAACTCTGTGAACATTTGATTAATGTATCAGGACACGACAACACAAAACAGTCATAAGAGTAACTGCAAATTAAGTTAAAACAAAATGTACTTACACATAATGTGTAGCAAACTACAATGACATCCATATATACAAAAGTCCAACATCCTACAAAGATACTTACATCATATCCACCTAAATGTAATGTGATATACACGCACATCATGTGAATATACAGGATGAGGCAAAAATTATTATACAGTAGTTTCATTTAGAACATAGTTTAACTTCTAAATATTACTCTGAAAAAAAACAACAATTAAATTACTGTTTTTGTAATATTTTCTTTATTACAAACCACATATAATACCAAATGTACTCTAACCTGTACGTACCTAACAATTGCATGCAGGTTTAAGTGCATATAATGCCCAGCATAGTGAACTGTGTACAGAAACAAGCATATCATGTCTAGCATACAAAACTATTGTACTATGTATTTACATATCCATCTAGCATACACTTTCACACACATGCATATGTAGACACACACATCCAAATCACAATCTCATGAGTGCACCCTTGGAAATAATTCTCTAATACCCAGTAAGGGGAAAGTTAAAGGTTAACTTTTATTTTGTTATTCAATCATTCCTTAACAGTGATAAGCCTAACCAGTCAGTATGTATACAGCTTTGTTAAGCTTAAAGTTAACAGTGATAAGCCTAACCAGTCAGTATGTATACAGCTTTGTTAAGCTTAAAGTTAACAGTTATAAGCCTAACCAGTCAGTATGTAAACAACTTTGTTAAGCTTAAAGTTAACAGTGATAAGCCTAACCAGTCAGTATGTATACAGCTTTGTTAAGCTTAAAGTTAACAGTAATAAGCCTAACCAGTCAGTATGTAAACAGCTTTGTTAAGCTTAAAGTTAACAGTTATAAGCCTAACCAGTCAGTATGTAAACAACTTTGTTAAGCTTAAAGTTAACAGTTATAAGCCTAACCAGTCAGTATGTAAACAACTTTCTTACGCTTAAAGTTGATTTTCTTTCATTTACTAATTAAAAATACGAAATTTTAGGCTAACAAAAAAGTCTACAAAAGTTACCTAACAGCTGTATATCCTATAAATCCTGGTGTTATATACATTCATTTTTTTTATTTCTATCAAAACTCTACATAATACATGTTATAATCAAGGTACAACAGAACACAATAAAACATTCACGTTTACATCTATAATCCTTCATTAAAACTAGTCGTTGAAAAAAAAAAAAGTACGTAGTGCTCATGTTTTCATATTGTCATACAAAAAACATGCAACTACGTTCATACTTACAATATAGACACCAGAAATGACTCACTATTGTGCAACCAGGCATAATGTTTAGTCTAGATTAGTTTTGTCATTACAATTTAAGGGATTCAGAGAAGTGCGATAAGCTCAAGGCTATACCTAACATATAGGCACTTGATCTCCATAAAAAATAAAGGTTCAAGGATCAAGAGTGTGTGTGTGTGTGTGTGTGTGTGTGTAGAAGGACATGCTTGTTTGTTACAGGTGAAATGAAATAGACAAGAACTGTATTGAAGTCAAGATAAAATGCTTTATTTATCAAAAGCAATTTAAATACAAAAGTCTGATCAGCTGCAACAAAATAAACTGAAAGAGGTAAGACTGTATTTCAATAAGGAAAACAAATAATGTGTAAATGTATATAATAAACTATGGATTAACAGATAATGTGTTTATTACATACATTTACTATGGATAAACAGATAATGTGTAAATGTATGTAATAAACTATGGATAAACAGATAATGTGTAAATGTATGTAATAAACTATGGATAAACAGATAATGTGTAAATGTATGTAATAAACTATGGATAAACAGATAATGTATAAATGTATGTAATAAACTATGGATAAACAGATTTGTAAATGTATGTAATAAACTATGGATTAACAGATAATGTGTAAATGTATGTAATATACTATGGATAAACAGATAATGTGTAAATGTATGTAATAAACTATGGATAAACAGATAATGTGTAAATGTATGTAATAAACTATGGATAAACAGATAATGTGTAAATGTATGTAATAAACTATGGATAAACCGATAATGTATAAATGTATGTAATAAACTATGGATTAACAGATAATGTGTAAATGTATGTAATAAACTATGGATAAACAGATAATGTGTAAATGTATGTAATAAACTATGGATAAACAGATTTGTAAATGTATGTAATAAACTATGGATAAACAGATTTGTAAATGTATGTAATAACCTATGGATAAACAGAATTTTACTGTAAATGTATGTAATAAACTATGGATAAACAGAATTTTACTGTAAATGAGGTTCAACAACACACAATCAGCAGCAACATGTGCTAATCAGACGAGACTTCACATCTTGGACCTCTCGAGTCAGAAAACAAACTTGCCTTCCTCAAAGGTCACAGCAAAGCAGGTGTGAAAGTGTGAAAATTGCAATCAGAATACACATTCACACTGTAGTTGACCAATCAGAATACACATTCACACTGCAGTTGACCAATCAGAATGCACATTCTCGCTGTAGTTGACCAATCAGAATGCAAAAATCTCTGCTCTATACAAATGCCACAGGATAAACCTGTATACACAAGGTGAAGTAAAATACAAAAAAAAAACAATCCCATAAAACAGTAGATGAGATCCTTGACTATACAGTCTATAGAAAGTTTTACCTCAGGACCTCAACTAGGTTTTGTGAGATACGAATGTATGGAAAAGATCCATAACAATGAACACGTTTCCCATACTAACATGAAATGAACAATTTTATGGTGTATTTAATCACAAAAAGCACTTACCACCAACACATACATAAGTGTTTCCTTAAAATAATTCACACTAAATCCTTATGCATATACTTCAATAAATATATACATAAATACTGCTGAGTTAGATGTAGTTAAGCATGCCCACAAATATGCAACAAAAGTACACTTTTAAAGACTATATCTAAATAAAAGAAAACTGGTTTATCAATATGTCTTGTAATTCAAAGAACTTACAAGTGAAAGCAAATAAGAATATGTAATAATGTCAACCACACTGACTGCCATATGCAGTGCCAACAAGGCCTTTCACCCAATACCATCAGGCCAGTTGGGATATAAAATGGTGGGGGTCTAGACGCTACTTATATCCTTATTTACATAAACAATGACCGTTATGGTATGACCTAGATTAAATAAGTGAAGTATAGTTGATATAAATTTCATTCACGTCATTTACAAACTAGAATTACTGTAAAAGATTAATAACACAATACTACTTATTTATGTTCTAACACAAATTAGAATTACTGTAAAGATTAATAACACAATACTACTTATTTATGTTCTAACACAAATTAGAATTACTGTAAAGATTAATAACACAATACTACTTATTTATGTTCTAACACAAATTAGAATTACTGTAAAGATTAATAACACAATACTACTTATTTA